ACGACCCCTCGACCAAAATGGGAGTCGTCGTCAAATTTTTGGGAGTCGTTTTTCCAACCCCCTAATCTTAACCTTGGTTTCAGATTGCACTCATGCTGGTTGATGAGGCCCACATGATTTATCTTTGGGGACTTGAAGCATCAAGGGCAAGCAAGTCACAAAATATGTTTGATTGGTACAGAGACTGATTGGTTTTCCACATATTGTATGGGTGTATCCTCTGCCGATGTTATCCGCAACCTTCCAACCAATAGTGGTTGATGTGATCCTCAGCAACCTCAAGCTGGAACCAACTGACATCAAAATGATCAACGGCCAGCTGACCCAACCAGAGATCTATCCAATGAGAATCTCCATGACAGTCACCCTCAAATCTGCAGACAATCTCCTGAGGATTTTTGCATCACACACTAAGACACCAACAAATCAGACAGGACCAACTCTCATCTACTCTGGATTGTGCAACATGACCTTCCAGTTAATGGAAATGGTGAATGAAGCAAGAACAACTAGGATCCATGAATGTGATCCAGAGGACATCTTCATCCATTGGTTTCACATGGTTACTAAAGATGATGACAAATTGGATAACATGAAATATTTCACTGAGGTCAAATTCCCAGTGATCTCTACTACAATGGGCTTGGGCCTTGAGCAGAACCTCAAGTGGGCCCACTGTGTGATTGACATTGGTTGAGGAGACCCACTCTGCCATTGTGCAAATAGCTGGAAGGTGTGGGTGTGGCGGTAATGGTGGACTGGCCTTGATATTCTTGGAGACAGTTTGTAAAAAGCTGAAGGGGAAGAACTGTGTTGCGGACTTTGGGGAGGAGGTGGTCCAGGATGATGATGCCCACATGGATTCTCCATCCATTACCCCTGTGTGCTTGAGAGATGCACTCACAGCTGGAAGCCTGTTGAGTTTGAACTTTGTTTTAGTTTTCATTTGATTTGAGGTATAGTGTACTGATAAGTGCATTGGTTCCGTCAGGACTGGGTTAATACCTGTCTCTACTTGTCACCAACACTACAAGGCCAAAGTTTCATGTGATTCAAAAGAGAACTTCCCTGCATGTGACTGCTCCAACTGTTTGCCAGAGGAGGCAGAAGCAATCATTGACAGGATCCATCAGATGGGCATCAGAAATTTTGAAACCTTTCAGATGGCCCCTTTGGGAATCCCTAAGGGTCCCTCACTGATGCCACTGGTACAAGTTCACATTGTAAATTCACCAAAACCAACTTGTGTGTATCCGCAGGAGATCACCACAGCTCTATCTGGATACTTGGTTGCAGGCTGTAAGGGTTATTCATCCAAGATTTTTGCCCCTTTCCAGGAGTTCCTCCCCACTGACCCTTTTGGGCAGGTGCAAGAAAATTCAATTACTGAACACATCCAAATTAATACTTAAGGCAATATTTTTAGGGGGTTGGAAAAACGACTCCCAAAATTTTGCCGACAACTCCCATTTTGGTCAAGGGGTTGTCGGACGGGATTCGTTCCTCCAAATCAATGGCCGACTTTGGGAGTCGGCCATCAATTTTTTTTTTTAATTTTTAATTTTTAATTATTTATTTTTAGGGAGTTGGCACCCCAAACCACCCCCCATGCTTGAGGGGGTTTGGGAGTTGTTGCTCCCATGACCGGAAGGATTTCCTTCCAGTCAACAAGAAGTTATACCTCATTGATTGGAAGGGATTCCTTCCAGTCGATGAGGTATAACAAACTCATTGACCGGAAGGAATCCCTTCCGGTCGATGAGATTGTTACATCTCATTGATTGGAAGGAATCCCTTCCAATCAATGAGGTATAACAACCTCATCAATCGGAAGGGATTCCTCCCGATTGATGAGGTTGTTACATCTCATTGACCGGAAGGAATCCCTTCCGTTCAATGAGATTGTTATACCTCATTGATCGGAAGGTATTCCTTCCGTCAATGAGGATGTTATACCTCATTGACCGGAAGGAATCCCTTCCGGTCAATGAGATTTTTGTTTCTCGTCGACCGGAAGGGAATCCTTTCGGTCATGGGAGCAACGACTCCCAAACCCCCTCAAGCATGAGGGGTGGTTTGGGGTGCCAACTCCCTAAAAATAAAAAATAAAAAATTGAAAAATTAAAAAAAAAAATTGATGACCGACTCCCAAAGTTGGTCATTGATTTGGAGTAACGACTCCCGTCCGACGACCCCTCAACCAAAATGGGAGTTGTTGGCAAAATTTTGGGAGTCATTTTTTGGACCCCCTATTTTCAATACCAAGCTAATAAACAAGGTCATTGATGGACAATGGTCAGGTGCCCTGGTAAAAGTGCACATCTGGTCTGGTCAATTCAGAATTGGCTGGCCAGTGATGTTTACCAGAAATATGTCTTTGACCAAGAGGCCCACCAAAGACCCTTGGAGGAGAAGGCACATCAGCTCTGCAAGGATAGGGAAGCTCATCTCAATCAAAATAAGAAGGACCTGGCCACTCAAGAAACAATCAAAATGAGAGAGGTTGTAGCTGATAAATCAGAAACAAAAAAACACAAACTATAGGCAGGCTCCAAGATACACAACCTGCACTGGAAGGCTGTTTCCACCTCTCAAACAGACAAAAATTTGTGTTTGGTCAGCAACAGTGGGATTTCAAAATCAAACTGCCTGGGGGAGCAAGCTGCCAACAAAGGCCA